ATATTGCAGTTGCCAATGCCTTTGGGGTCATTGTAAATAGTAAACTAGAGAAAATTGGTCATACTGGGTTTTTTGATTATTATAATTTGCTTATTATTATTTTCTTGCTTCTAATACTTAAACTCCAGTTAGGTAATGGAAGGAAACCCTCTCTCCAAATTTGGTGCAGCTCATGGATTTTGGAATCCTGATTTAGAAATTTCTTTTAATGGACTTCAACTAATTGCTTCATGTAGAAGATGTCAGTATCCAGTGAGCCCAAGTGTTGGAAGAAGAGTGATGATCTTATGGTGGCAGAGGGAACTCCAGCCTGGAGGGCACAGTGCAGAGACTCAGCTCACAAATTCAGAACGAACGCCATACTGTAAATAAGCCCAGGAACATGATACCAAACCGGGCTGAGTTGACACCTGCTCTGGGAGTCATTAGCTTGTTAGGTCTTGCAGAAATATGAGGATCATGGCTGGATGGAGTCCTTTTCTCTGATTGATTTCTTTCTAAAGCTGTCTTAGGCTGAGGTTCTGCAGCATGGAGAAGCAGCATAAGGGTAAGATAAGCAAAGTTTATGAGATGGAGACCTGTATTCAACCCTGACCTTACCTTAGCTTTTATTCCCTAGGATAACTACATCACCCCTCTCAGTCCTAGTTTCCTCCTCTGAAAAAAGGGGTTAGTAATGTTTACCCATAGGGTGGTGGTAAGGGTTGACGTTAAAGGTGCAAAGTAGTGTGCGTTGTATACAGTGGTTTCTCAGGATGTTAGTTGCTGTCCCTCTTTACTCCATAGCTTTGCAGTTTTTCCCATGAGGAAACAATGCAGTGACTACCAGGCTGGCCAGAACAGCCTGTGAAATGTCGAGAACAGGCATTGTTTAGGTGGATCCTGGCCTTTACACACCTATACTCTTCAGGACTGGGTGACTCATGAAAATGATGGGCCTCAGAAGACAAGAAGCACACAGTTAGAACAACCAGAAGATTGTAAAGTGGATCAGAGCTATTTACAAAATAGTGGCATTGTGTAATCAATGATATTTCTAAGTGTTCATTTTTGAATAAATTTATGGGACCTAAAATTTTGTTTAAGGCATTAGGAATTCATAATCATTTTGCCTGACCTCACACAGATAGGAGCTCTTTTCTTTCACCCTTTTTTTTCCTAGGCTGAGATGAGGAGTTTTCTTTGAATATTAAACCCATGCGACATTTATCCCTCCTCTGACTAATGACCTTAAAAACAATCATTCTAAAAATAAAAAGAAAAAAAAGTATAGCTATTTTGTGAGCAAGGGTCCTTAAGCTTAGTTGATGAGGGCATCCAAAGTTAAGATTAGAAATGGTATTTCAAAGCTGGACCCTTCATTTTGTTTCTGAGCTTTAAAGGAATCCAAGTAAATATTCCAAAGTTTCTTTAAAAAAAAAACAAACCTAGAATTCCCCAGGCACATGAACTGTGGATGACTGAACCATTGCCCCACTCTGCAGGATGTCTAAAGATGAAATCTGTAGGGCAAAGGCCCAGATATCCAAAAAAGCATTTTTTTTCATTCTTCCTAATAGATTCCGAAGGTTGTTTTAGAGAGGTTTGAGGCAAGACAATACCCAGGTATAGCTGAAACACTATTTGCCTTTTTTGGCAAAGGCAGGCAATTTTTAAAGTAAGCCTTTTGGAAGCTAAGAATGGGTCTACCAATATTTTTTAGAGGTTTCCAACTCACACTGAGTTCATGAAAACTCACTGATTGAGTTGATTTGATGGGAAAAAAAACCCTCTTGCTCCCCGTATTTCAAGTTGAAAACACTTTAGTTCTACTTAAGTCAGAAGATGTGTTGCTATAGATTAATTTGTTGGGCTCAAGATTTTGCTGCCTATATAGATTCCAAATCTCATCATGAGCCAAGTTAACCATTCTTTCATTGTAGTTTACATGGTTTAAATAAGTAAACTAAATTCTTACTTGAGAGCCAGTTTTGTTGAGAGGTAGCAGATGGAGATAACAGGAGAATCCTTGGTCCTCTACGGGAGGGTCTTTGTGGAAAGGAGAAATGCTGGCTGTTCCCTCATGTACCGCATCATTTTGTTGAGGGCTACTTCAATCCTGTCTGCAGCCTTCCTACCCCTTCCACGAAGAGCTGTGATTCAGGTCACTAAGACAGAGGCAGGGAGAGCACGACTGTCAAGTCAGTTACTCCTGAATTCAAATTCCAGGCTCATTTACTAGCTTAACACTTGAACAAGTTATTTAAACTGGTTGAGCTTCAGTTTCTTCATCTTTGCAATGGGAAGAGTAACAGCTACCTCATAGGGTAATTGGATAATCATAACAATTTAATGAAACACTGTATCAAGTCTTTTGAGCAGAACCTGGCTTACAGGTAAATACACAGGGGCAGCTGGCATCACTAGCATCATCATCGTCACCCAGTGCCAGTAGGTATGGCTTCTGAGCAGAAATCATTTGTTACTAGTTAGGCACTTCCCAGCCAGACTTAGTTCTATATATGCTTGGTTTCCACTTGTCCTTTGAGCTGTGAAAAATAAGGTGTACAAAGTCGACCACCCTATTTGATCTTGGGGACAGGATCAGAATAATAAAGACATGTGCACATCTCTAGAATTTTTACTGGATCTTAAACACCCCTCTGAAATTATATCAGCATCTTATTTAAGATCCCAAAGTCCTAAATAAGGATAATAATAGTTTTGGGGAATTGTAGATGAATCTGGATGGAATTTGACATCAAGGGTGGCTCTTCAAGAGCTACTATTCATCCTCCCCTGTCTGTTTAAAAATTGTTTATGTGCTGGTCTCACAGGGGGAGAAATGGATAAGCAGCGAGGTTTTTGGCTGGCTTTCATATCCTATGGAATCTCTCAAGATTTTTTTCTTCAAGATTTACCCAGCGTGTGAATCTGATCCCATGACCCAACATTTGTGAGCAGCTCTGCACAAACAATATGATCCTGTTTCTCTCCCTTCTTCCAATTCCCTGGGGAGTTTTCAGGGACGAGCAGAGCCTCAGGAGCTTTGGAAAATATATTTCAATCAGAGAAATTCATTCAAAGGCACATCTTTCAGTGTATGTAAAATGAACTATTTGAAAAAATTCCATTGCCCTTCCAAGAGCCTCCTTGAGGTTTACTTATAAGACCATTGACAGTCAGTCTGAAAATGCAAATTATGGCCCAAGAAACTCAGAACATCACCGGTGAGCCTCATCTGCACAAGAGATGATAACTCAGATGGTAACCTAAGGCAAGACTTAGGGAACTTAGATATGACTGACTTGATTTCCCCATTTATGTTCTGTGGAAAGTCCAATGCTTTCCTAAGATTTCTGCAAATCTCCAGGGGATTTTTACAAGCTCATCTTTGCTTCTGAGGTGAGCAATTTACACTGAATTTCATTCCATGAATTGGCAACTGACCTCATTTTGAATCAGGAATGGAGCACAGTTTCTCTCCCTGGGTTTTACAAAAATGCACTCACATGGGCCTTTTTGGAAGGTTGGTGAAAGCAGAGAAATAAATATAAATCAACATAAACAACTTCAATTCGCTTATTAACTACGTTGTCTTTGAAGAAGTCCTTTAGATACTTTCCATCCTGGACACCATCCTTCCCACATGCTGCTGGGCTCTCTCCTCTCTCTCTGACTCTTATTCATTCCTAGTGGACAGTTCATTAAGCTCCCTTTCTTTTTCTTTCATTCCTTTTTGTCTTGTTCTCCTTCTGATTTTCTCCTGCGTATCCAGGCCCACAAGGTACCACATTTTTAACCTTTCAACTCCAGCTGACTAAGTTAATTTTCTATATAAAAGCAGTTCCTTTCCAAAAAAGAATTTTGGAGACAGCTGCTAAGATAATAATGGTTTTGAAACCCTTACAAATATGTTCTGGAGGTGTATGAAAGTGCACTGAAAAGTGACTCCAATCTTGAATTACTTTGAGAGAAGTTCACTATGTAGAGGGCTGATACGCTGAATCCACAGGCAATGTGAAAAATTCTCATTTCGGCTTTCTAGACTACTTTAATGAGAAAATTCTGAGTTGTTCTTTCTAGTTGGCAGCAGGATGGATGAAAAGGGCTCTGTGATATTTCTTTCCATAGTGAGAAGGGTTATGGCCATGCTCTTTATTAGCTTCTAAAGGAAGATGCATACCATATGCTTGTAAGCTGCGTTCTGCTGTCAGCTGGTGGCGTCTAGGCTTGTTCCCACATGGAATGCATGCAGAAATCCCCCCACCCATCACACATTGGAAGAATCCCTCTCTTATGCACGGGGGAGAGGCGAACACTTATATTGGCCTAATTTCAGAACATGGAGGAAGAGCCCTGTTCTTCCCCAAATAACTCCTCCAGTTTCACTCTGACTCCTGAAATGCCTTTAACAGAAGATTAAAGCCCTCTATTCTACAATTTGATATAGGGCTTAAAATGCAGTCTAAGTCTAAGAGGGGGAGCATGGCAGTGTTTATGCATATAAAGATGTGAATTAATATCAGATATTTTTTCATGAGAAATTTTTTTTTTGAATAGGGAAAAGACGCCCCAGGGGGCCTGAAGCAAAGGGGGTTAAAAAAGTGAACAGAATGGACATGTTGTGAGGCAGACAACGTCTATTTACAGAAGAGAGAAGAGAGGAAGGGAAATGGCACTACTCTTTATGGAGCGCCTGCCTTGCCAGGCAATGTGGTGGGACTTTCCCTATGAAATACGTCTTATGTAATTCCTGAGTGCTCTGAGCACCAGGAACTAAAAGTCAGCGCTCCCCAAAATACACTCACGCTGGTATGCGTTTGTCTCGAGATGGCTGCAAAAGGAGCCGCTCTTGTGTTCCTGGTGGAGAGAAAGTAATGCCTGCTTTCTTCCTCTGTTTAGGCAACTGTGTGCGTGTGTGTGTGCGCGCGCGCGCACACACGCACTGTGAATGAAGAAGTCTGGACGCGGGTAGACAACACTGGTCACCTGAAAACCATGGGTGTGACCTCACCAGTAGAACCTAATAATGACTTGACCATAAGCCTCTTTACAGAAGAAACTCCACAGAGCCCTTTGCTCCCATTCTTATGCCATGCAGCAAAGACCGGTTCACAGTTCTACTACTTAAAAAGTCTACAGAAAATAAACTAAGGAGGAATGAGTCGCAGCACCAGCAGATTCAACATCGCAGCCCTCTCAGTAAGGAGCTTCCTCGGTTTGCTTTCGGGGGTTGCGAGCCTCCGGTGGAGAGGAGCCAGAGAGACCGAGTGGCTGTGGAAGAGGAACTTGACCGCGCACTAGTTCAAGGACAGCTGCGGTGCCGTGCGGCTGCGGGCCAACTGTGACGCAGAACCGTAGGGAGCACCTTCCATCCGCCCCTGCTGCTACCTTAGTCCCAGGGACAAGCACGTCCAAAGCGCTCCAGAGCCTGCGCATCGGGAGCGGGCAGCGCCTGGAGGGAGCGGCCGAGGCGCGGACACGGACTCCTGGGCAGTAGGTGAGGAGAGCCCTCTCCCTGCGGCTGCGCAGGCGGCCAAGGCAGGACAGAGACGCGGGTGGCGACCACAGCCAGCAGGCCCGCTGAAGGGAACTGCAGAAAGCTCCTGCCGGGAATTCCAGTCCTGGCTGCGGAGCGAGAGGAGGGCTGGGGCCCTGCTCAGCCGGAGCTCTTGGGCTGGCGGACAGCTGGGCTGTGCAGGCCTCCTGACCTTGGTGAGGTAGTGTGGTTTCTCTAGCGGAGGAAATACCCGTCAAACATCCAGTTGTAATGCATAGCTTGCTGTTCCCAGGTCACACTGGCCATGGGAGAAACCAAGGTCCTTATTGAGCCCAACACATATTTAAAGAAGTTAAGCTCCGGTCCCACAGGGTCTGTTGTGCCTCCTCTGCAGAATCTCCTTCAACCTCAGAATCTACTGTCAGACCGTTTTCTAGGGGATGAGGACAGTCAGGAGAGGGGAGTGACCCCAGACCAACAGGGCTCTGCTTGGTGGGGCAGCCGAAGGCAAGACCCCCGCCCCGGTGCGCTGCAGGGTGTTCGTGGAACAGGCCTTCCTGATTGTACTATGCCTGACTTCTTCCTTTCCCCACAGAGTTTGGAAAGGAGCCGCAGGGGCTGGGCCAGGAGACAAGTCCTTGCGGTAAATACAGCCCTGCTGTTAGTCGTCCCTCTTCTCTACCTTCAGACGCTGCCTGTCCCCTGACTTCTCACTCGGGTAAAGTTCTCTCACAGTCTCTAATGCAAACCGATTGTTGGCAGGTCATCCACTTAACTCCCCAAGTACACTCTCTCATATCCTAGTGTCACCGGACACGAGTCAGGTCAAGGTTAGGAGACGAATTAGATGAGACACAAAGTGTTGCCTTCTCTCAGGTGACCTGAGGACCCGCGTGAAGTGTCTGTCTTGACTTAAGAGTTCTTGAGGCAGGTAAACGGATTGCATTTCTCTGCATCTGCTCTTCAATAAAGGACAATAAAAAAAAATAGTGATGTAAACAGTATAAACTATGGTCTGGGTAGGAACAAGGTAGGAACAATTTATCCTAACTTAGAGTATCAGATAAGATTTCATAAAAGATGTTAAATGTGGATGAAGGCCTTTTTTAAAAAAATGGGTAGAATTTCAACAGATAAATAAAGGAGCAAAGGCATTAATTCATTCAGTGAGCATTTATTGAGGCTCCATTATACATCTGGCTCTGTTTCAGGCCCCAGGGACACACACACACATGAACAGAACATCATTCCTACTTCCAAAGAGCTGCAGTATTTTCTTTTCACGCTGAAGAGACAGCATGAGCAAAGGCACAAAGCCCCGGGAGGGATGTGGCGAGTTCAGTGAATAGGTGGCTGCGACCCAGGGCCCACTGCATAAGGGGACAGGCAGGAAAATACAGGGCAGGACAGGGGCAGGGGGAAGGCGGGGGACCAAATGCAGAGGATCTTAATACCACTGCAAGATGTTTAAAGTTTATTCTGCAGGCTATGATAAGTCCTAACAGCTTTGAGACGAAAAGGAGCATGATTAATTAATATTTTAGCTGAAAGCATCCAATGCCTTCTATTGCCCAAAGACTTCAAGGGCCCCTCATTATTCATGAGATAAAGACCAAAGTTCTTAGCATGGACACCAAAGCTTTGCAATGTCTGGCCTCTACCTCTCCCTTCAGCCTTATCTTAAACCTTTCTCCCCCTTCTGCTGCATATGGGCCTCAAGGATCTTGTTATCACACCTCCACTGCCCACCACAGGGCCTTTGTGCAGATTGTTTAGTCTTTCAGGAAACCATTTCCCCCTTGTTTAATTAAATTCTCCTCCTTTAGATTAGCTGAGTCATTACTTCTTTGAGGAAGCTTTTCCTGACCCGCACTCCCCTCCCAACCCCTATTAGATCTAATCTCCTAGTAAATACACATGTACATTTGTGACTCCTTGATTACTCTTTTTCATTAGGCTATAATCAAGGGCAAGGACTGGGTTTTGTTTATCATTTTCTCTCTAGTCCCTACTACAGTGCCTGACACATTGTATACCTGCCATAAACATTTATTAAAAGCAAGAAAAAAACAAAATCTGTTTTTTCCATAGCAATGTAGAGGATGGTTTTGGGTGGGGGGGCTGGGCTGTAGGCAGGATAATCATGGAAGTAGCTTATACCAGTGCGCCAACACAAACCATACTCAAGCATGTATCTGTAAATCAATCATCTGTCCTTGTGGCAGCCATGGGCTCATCAAAGTGGTAAGTCTTCATCTAGCAGCTGCTTAAGCTGAATTCAGAAGCCAATTAATCCTTCTCTCCAAGAATTGTCTCAATCCAGCTTCTGGGTGTGAAAAAGCCCTGATTGGTTAAGAAAGTGCAGTGGCCGGTCACAGATGAAAAAGGTGAAGGTACAGTATTGAGTGAGAATATGCAGAGGGTGGAAATAGGATGAATTTTAGCTGGGTATGAATAAAGAGGTTAATATACAAATTACAGAAAGGAGCACAAGGAAAAGAGCTTTATTACAATATGCTCTGAAAATGTGAAGGGTTAGAACACACGGGCTGACGAATCAGTGCTTCTCTCTTCCTGCTGATGACTATGTGGAAGAAAATGGGTTCAATCCACACAGAGAGAAACTGGAGCCAATCATTCCTCAACAGATTTCCAGAGGGAGCATATAAAGTCTTTGTCTCTGGGGAAAGAATAAGGGGGAATCAATAACATTCACTACTCTGCCGGTTGAGTATTGTGCTGCCTTAAGACGGTGTGACGGGTGGTGGTGGTGGGGGCGTTGCTGGGAGAGGGGGGGTGCACACAGTTCCCTAACAATGCCATCATGATTACATTGCCACACGAGCTCTGGGGCTCTGGAATGACCACTCTGCATGACGCTTCTTGTTTGAATCTGGTAAATCTTTGCAAACCCCATGAATCATCAAATGTGCTATGCTTGAAAGATTTTGACAAGTTTTATGAGTCTACCTAGTGCTATTTATTTTTGCTCTCGCTCATTCTGTCTCTACAGGGAGGTTCACTTTCAAGGGCATCCTTCACAGAATTGGCCAGGAGCCACAGTGGCAAATCTCCCTCCATCATCCCAGGGCAAGGAATAGCATGTTCTGCTCTTGCCAACTGCTTGGTATGGTGTTAACATGACTGATTGAGTCAGCTTTGTGCACAGCCAGTAACCAGAGCAGATTCCAGGAACTGGATGTAAGCAAGTGAGATGCTGTTTTTTAATGTAAGTAAGTGGTGCTGGGGTGTCCAGATCTGTATGTTTGTTGGGGACCTATCTGGTAGAATTTAAGATTTACTCACAGACTCTGTCTCAAATATTTCTGCCACGGCACAGTGCCTGAATTACCCTTCATGATGAGCCCTCCTTTGGGACATGGATTCTAAGGAACTATAAATAAGCAAAATTGCTTTGTGGAATTAGTAGCAAAACAGTGCTATTTTTATCATCTAACTAATTGGTGTAGTTGGTTCAGTTATCCCAATCGCTGTCCAATACGGTGACCACTCCTCACATGTGGCTCTCGGGCACTTGAAATGTAACTAGTGACTAAATCATCACAGTCCATTTGGTTTCAATTTCAGGAGATTTTGGTTAGTATTAAACTCCAAAACAAAGTGGGGATCCATAGCCAGTAAGTTTGAGAAATCTTGACTTAAACAAATTAAAGTTGTTTTCTACTGCACAATTTCTAAAAGTGTTCAACATGCCAATGTTCATTATGTCTTTCTCAGAAGGAGATGCTGTAGGACAATTTAACGACCATATCTAACCATGGGAGACATTTTGCTTGTTTCTAGAGAGTATCTTGAGGACAGTCACTTAGGCAATGACTCTCTCCATGAACAGGACTCAGATGGAATATGCCAGGCAGAGATCTATGCCTTTAATGAGAGAAGATGTGTCCCTCTATTGCGAACTGCAGGGAGTGAGACTCAGCTTCCTTGCTATTCATATAGTTTGTTCAGTATTTATTTATTCATACTGTTTTTGTGAACTTTGACATCCTGCAAACTTTGCCTAACACCTTTGCTCTATGCTGACCTTAAAAATCGTGCTTCTCCTTGAAAAACAGAGGGTTTGAAGAGATGACCTATATGGTCTTTTCCAGGTTTAAAACTCTATGGTCCATTCATTCTGATTCTAATCCTTGAAATTTTCCATTTTTTTTTGACACTTTCCAACCCTAGTTGGACAGTGCCTGAGTAAGTCAGAAAAGAAACTGAGGTCATTTCCAGTGGATTGTAGCATCTACTTCCCCAAGTTCCTCTGAACTGCAAGGAAGGAGAGCAGACTGTGAAGAGAAGTATACAATCCTGAGGGATATATGTGGTATCAAGCCAAGAAGGTGAAGGCCGACCCTGTAGGAAAAAAATAAAGCCATTTGTTTCAAGTAAAGTGGTCTGTGAGGGCTTTAGATGATAGGAGTTTATCTTGATAATAATCAGAAGCCTTTGAAGAAAGAGAAGTGACATAGTCACTCTTGCAGAACAGAGAGTGGCCAGTGAGGTATCTGTGTGTCATTGAAAGTGACATGACTAGAATTGGAAATACCATTTGGAAATCATAGCAATTATTCAAGTGAGAGATGTTGGCCAAGGATTATGCCCAGGTTTTTAGCTTGGACAACCAGGTAGAGGGAGGTATTCATTCTAGGAAATAGGATGCATTCATTGATGGGCAGGTGTGAGGGCAAGATAATGATGGTTTCAGGCTGGGACATGTGGACTTTGAGATGGCTAGGATGGTGTCCTAGTGATGACATATAGCAGGAAATTAGGAATACAGATCTGGATCTTAACATAGAGGATTTGACTGGAGATAGTCAATAGTAAAGGAGGAATGGCTCATGTAAGAGGCAATACAGGGTAAAGTTTAGAAAGGGCCCTCAGGAGCTCCAATACTTCCCTGCTGTGTACTTTGGGCAAGTCACTTAATCTCTCTCTACCTCAGCTTCATCATCTGTCAAATAGGAATAACCCTGGTTTCTCCCTATTAGAGTCATTGTGAAGATTAATGAGTTAATACATGTAAAACACATAAAATAATGCATGATGTACTTAATAAACATTATCACTATCTCCCCCTAAAGCTGGGAGTGGATACATAATTGGCTGACTGTGACACAGCTACAGTGGCAGGGTCAACATTCCAACCTGGTTCTTCCTGAGACACATCACTGTTCTTTCCATTATATCATGTAGCCAAAACTTTAAGCATTCATTGCATTTGCTGCTCATTTGTAAAGTGGGAATAATAATAATACATAGTTTATAGGCTTGTTCTAATATTTGCAAAGTATTTAGAACAGTGCCTGGGATAAAGTGCTATAGAATGTTTGCTATTAATAATAATGATGATGATAACACTAATAATTTGCTTATACCTTGCTGCCTGGAAGAGAAAAAGTGCCACCTTTTAAAACTAACTCAGACAAGATTTATTGATTTGATTGCTGGAATGGGATAGGTGGAGGCAGTCAGCAGGGGTGTGTCAGATGCTCCGTTTGTATAACGGAAGAAGTGAAGGACCTCTGTGGACAGGCTAAGTGGAACTAGAAAGGTCAGATCACCATTAGAACAAATGGGCTTGGAGAGATGGGTAGAATAGAAAAATGTCAAATCTTTCAAATATGCAGATTGCTGGTGACAGTGGCCACATCTGGTGTCAACTGAAACGTACCCTCCAAAGAACTAAGTACCTCTACAAAATGAAGCTTGGAAGATAGGCAAATGGGAGAAAAACAAGATGGCAAAATGGGAGAAAATTGAGTCCAGGGCCACAGAAAAAGTGCAGGTCAAAATAAATTTGACTCCTGGTTTCCTACTCTCTGATCTACTCATGTAGCCACAGGATTTGTTTATGATTGTTTGTTTACTTGAGAATCTCTGGGGCTTTTGATTGTTTTTTATTTCAAAATCCAACACAGTGGGATACAAGTTTTATGTTTCTACTCTCATTATATCAGGAAAGAACAGAGTGAAAACTTTTTAATCTCCCCCCCTCCCCCGACTCCCAACATTGCTGAGATGATTTAATGCCTCATAACAGAAGTAATTTTGTGATAACGACACAAAAGCAGCAATTAAAAAATATTGCTTGTTTCAGGGCCTATAAATCGGCTGTTGGTAATTGACAACAGAATGTGCTTTCTAATCCACTGAAATGATATCTTATTGCAAGCTGGCATGGTAATTACTGTATGTGTACAGTTCCAGAGGAGCTCCAGCCGGAGTTTGACAGGGAGTTGATTAAATCACCCAGGTGTAATTGAAGGTTTTGATTGCATTGCCTCTGAGCTGATCAGCATTAGTAACAGCCCAGAATTCTGCTGTCATATGTTTTGAGAGCTGGTGGTATATCAGCCCTTTCAGTCTCTCTCCCAGCCCTTAGCCTCTGTTGTGCTGGTGTCACGGGGAGCCAAGAGAGCTCCTCAGAGCAGAAAAAATGAGGACAGACAGCAGATCCCTCATGCTGGACCTGAATGACATCATTTGAAACAAAAAGAAACCTGTTTCTAACTGCCTGCTTTGTTTCTTTGGCTGGAGAAGCCAGGACTATGACCTCAAAGATGTGGCTTGCACATGGCTGGTCAGGGCAGCGTGAGTCCCCTGCTCATTCTTTGCTCATTTGATGATGTCAAATTTTTGTAAAGTATCACTTTTTAAAGGGGGAAATTTAACCTGCTCTTAAACATGGCAGTTCAGTCAATTAGCAAGAAGGATTCTGTGATTTTGTGTTGTGAAAAACCTTTGAATTCATTGGTATTGTTCCATTTATTTATGTGGTATTTTCTGAGTGGTTGTTCTGCATAAAGCACATTGCAAAGGAGGTGGGAAGATAAGATAGGTAAGTTAACTCCAAGCTAAACATGATAAAGGCTTACAAATATTATAAACTGAGGTAGAAGTACAGAAAACATTCAGCATCGCACAAACACTTACTGACCACCAGCCAAGATTATCTGTGGGTGATAGGAAGATGAACAAGATTCTTTCACCCTAGGAGTTTGTAGTCTAATCAAGAAAACAGTAACAACCATAAAATAATAGCAGCTAATATTTTTTACCTTTCATGCATCATGTTTTGAATTTTCATAGGAAGTGGGAGACACATTCTTTATTTCCATTTCACAGATCAATAAAAATGGGTATAGAGAAGTGACATATTATGAAACAAAATGAAATCTGTTTCCAAAATGGAACTGGAAATGGGTAGGTTCATAATTTAAGTCCAGGTATTTCATAAGAATCTGGCAAATAGTTCTTATCCCCATTTACAAATAAGAAAGCTGAGGTAGAGAGATTAAGCAAGTTGCCTAAATTCAGCTCTTAAAAAGTGATAAAGCATAACCATAAATCCATAACCCAAAACCCATAATCCAAAGCAGAAATAAATGTTTCTGCATATCTAAGAAAATTGCTATGGGAGCACCAAAGAAGGGGAAAGTAATTTAGGTCAGGCTTGATCAAGGAATCCTTCAGGAAGATTCGGCTTTTGAGTTGAAACCTGAGAGTAATAAACTGAGAAGTGGAAATGTTGGACGGCCTTCTGCACATTGGGAAGATGAAGTCCAAAGAAATCAACCAGTTTTTTTTAGCTACCTGTCATCAGATCCAACAAAGAGTTGGACAGAAAGGAGAGAATTTTAAAAAGCAAATGTGCTGGTACAATTGGAAATTTTGGAGTCTCTATGGAATTCCTTTATCCACCCCTTTTTGCATTAGTGTGAGGACTGCTCACTGGTTGTAAGATCTAGATATCTTCTTTCCAATAATCAAGTCTGGTAAATAGTTTCTGAGCCAGGCCCAGCCCGGTCTGTTTTCTGGAATGGATGGTACCTTGCAAGAAAGAGCTTCCTTTCAGGGCCTTGTTGTATCTTAGCTGCAAGGGGAAAACTGAGCCCAGGATTGAGAGCTACCCACACTTCACCTGAGGGATGCACTTGAAGAGAGTGAGTCAATCCTGGGAGGGATCCAACGAATTTAATGGAGGTTTCAGGTAGATGGTCCATTATGTTTGAATGTTGCTTCTGAGAGGAACCCTACAGAGGTGAAGGTTTAGGAAGGGTCCTCCTCCTTAGAATAGCATCTGTGGGCAGATGTGCCAATTGTCAGCCTCTAGAAGCCAACATTGCACATTTATTTTCTCACTGCTTAAGCCAGCAAGGCCGTTTTACATTATTCCCTCTGGACAGTATTTGGCTCCATGGGTAGGGATTAAACAATGTTTTGAGATCTGATAGGGGGGGGAATATAACTCATGGAGGGTTGAACACATCGAGTAAAGAATGTGCCCTAGATGGACTTTGTTTCCTGTGCAAACTATGTGGTGAGAGTCAACTCAAGAACACATCTTTAAAACTCTGCCGTTTTCTACCAGTGTGGTCCAAGTCAGTCTTAATCCTCTTGCAGAGGTCAGGGTGGGGACTGAGGTGAGGCAAGGGCAGCACTGGCTTTGGAAATAAAATTTAAGGTGGCACCTGAACCTCAAAATCTAGATTAATGCCTCCCAAAATCCAGCACAAACATATATAAAGATAGAATCAGTGTCACAGATGCTTCCTTTTGCTTTAGGTGCCAGCAAGGCTTGGCAGGGCACTGCAGAGGGGTAACTCTCTCGTGGTGATGTGCAGCTGCTAAGGAGAGTGAGCAGGTACCTCAACAGCAGTTGAGATCCTGAGGATACAGCCTGGCTTTCCAGGACCTCATGGACTAAGAATTGACTAATAACAAGGATATTGTCCTAGTACTCAGGTTATTGAAAGGTTTCTAAGACATCTTAGACCTTGGACCCGCTGCCTCCCCAGCTCTGTTAGCTGCTCCTACTATTGTCTGCAGTTACATATCGGCTTCCGGAGGTCAGAACCTTGCAAGCACAGTCAGAATGCACCCATGTAGTCATACTGCATGTGTACTAACAGATAATATAAGTTAACATAGTGACTAATTCATTCTCATTGCTGAATAAATGAAAGAATAAATAAGTGAATTGACGGAAGAAAGAGGACAGAAGTACATGATATTCTAGGAGAGTCATATGGCATGGCTGTTGGTTTATGCTTATTTGCATGCCTGCAATGAGAGTATACTCAGCTCCTTACTGGTTTTAAGAGAGTCAAGATGCTGTTATAAGATAGCATTAATCATGTATTTATTCAGCAGCTACTATAATGAGCACTTAAATCTGTTTTGCCGTATTTTAAAGTTGGGTTTCTCATCTCTTAAAATTCAGATAATTAAGCCTACCCCCTAGGTTCTAGTGAGAATTAGAAGTATGTTGTGGGAATTTTTATCATTATTGAATAAAATTCAAATAGGCATATAAGAGAAATATAAAATATAGTCTCTACATAGTATTTGACCTGAAATTAAATGGGAGCTGATCCTATACTTCTGCACAAGATAAACATGAAGTCAATAATTTTACAACATCTACAGGCTATGACACATTGGTACTCAGTAAAATCTAATATGTAAGAAAGTACAAGATAAATGGTACTATATTAATTTAATATCTTTTGTAGGAATCACAAATGTTTTATTGATCTTTTTAAAGAAGTGCTAAAGTAGAAAATACATTGCATCTACTAATTATGTGCATTAACTTATTGAGTGACATGGTTTAAATGTCAATTAGGGGTCACTTAACTAAGGTTATATTTATGTGCTTCCTCTCTGTGTAAAACCATAATAGTTATAGAAAACTCTACAAACTCCCACAACATTTAACCATGATTTGATCAAAAGTCAACTCAATCACGGTTGATGTGGCCTGGAAGGTGCCATTGTTGAGTGGGGGGCTCGTTTAAAAGAGGGAGAAAAAGCCTCATGACATGGTTTATCCAGAGATGCACAGTGAGGAAATAGATCACAGCGAAACTCGTGGAGCAAATTGTTGATGATCTTCTAGGAAACAGACTCAGATGGGGAAAGCAATTTGCCAAAGGCTACATAGCAAGTGAGCAGCACCAAGTTTTGAAATTGGATCTTCAAATTCAAAATCCCTTGAGCATTCCACAGTCTCTCCTTCTCACTTCTAAACGATTTCTGAGCTTGCCCATCTCACCCACTGTTCTGCCTGCTTCTGTCTCCGTCTATGGCAAGTAGTTTCTAAAGCCATTAATTACCTCCTAATTTTCAAATCAAATTGTCTTGACACCACCTTTATTTCCCTGTCCTCTCTTTAGCATTCTACCATGCACTACTCCATCCTCTTTGCAACTGTTTATCTTTGACCTCAATTATGAACAAAATGACCCATCCCAGTTTTTGAAATCAGAAACCTAGGCAGCATTATTGTCATTTCTCAAATGCACATACACACACACACACACACACACACACACACACACACACACACAAGGACTTTTGGTAACCAATTCCTAACGAAAATATCTTCTAAATATCTCTCTAAGTCCCTCTTCTTGATCTGAGCTGTCTTTGCCTTTGTTTTTCTTCTGCTGACGAGGATCTACTGCAGTAAGCCCCATGTGGCTGATTTATCTTTAAACCATCTCTTCCTACATACAATTAACCATTCCATTCTTCACTAGATCTCAAAACATGACTCCATGGGAGATGCAAGCAACAGGAGAAAGGTGAGTTATTATAAGCAGTATTTCTAACTGCTCTTCAACGTATCAACAGCTCTTAGAGGAGATCTGTAAGTACAGAAGCACCCCTTTGTTTGCTGGGCCGTTTATCCAGTTCTTCCCCCCAACTAAGAGGTGAAGCTACTTTACAGTCTACTAGGATGTCCAAAGAGAGGAAAGCTATAAGCATGTAGATACACATGGAGGATGTGAAAGTGAGCTGTGGACCACAGATGCAGCGTAGGGTGGTGGAAATAGCCCTGGGTTTGAGTCCTGTCTCGACCACTTCCTTACCATATGACCCTGAGCTAGTCCCTGAATTTCAGTTTTAAAGTAGAGTATTAACTATAACAATATGTGCCTGTAAGGTTGTTATGAGGTTTCAAAAAGTATTAAATGTAACAAATATAAAACAACTTTGTCAACAACAACATATTATATATGTATTGGTTATTTTATTATTAGGTTATAAATGGAGGGAAATCTGGGAACTGTAGCTCTAGAGAGAGTAAAGGAAAGAAAACAGTGGCAGTGAAATAAGAGACATGGATAAAGATATAGATTGGGATGCAGCAGAAATTGCTTAATGCATATGTTTGCACTCAAAATGAGAGAAATTACAGGCCCAGGTTTATGAGCACAGGCACAGACTGTCCTGGGTTGGAGTTCCAATCCTCCACTTTTAAGTTAGAGCCATCAGACAAAGTAATTAATAATAATATCCCCTAACCTTTGTTAGTTTTTTGTTTTTTTTAAATTTACATTTCCTTGTTTATTTTTTCAGGGTTTTTTTGCTTTATTTTTTTTTAATTTTTGAGAAAGAGGTCCCTCGAAGGCCCCTTCCCAGGCTTGTGGGGGACCAAAATGCCCTCCTACCTCAGGGACTGGAGCCTCAGCAGCTACATGTGTGAAGCCTCTGCATGGCCACCCCTTGTCACTGGCCTTCCAGTGGGGACAAGGGGCTGCTGGCTCTGCCTGGCCCACATCTGTGGGTTGACACTGGTTCTTTTTATAAGAAATTTACTATAGCAGCATGTCTTATCCATTGTGACCAAGGCCTGGTGGTTGAAGGGGAGGCCCTGCTCAGCCAGGACTGGCTTCCCACTGGAGGCAGGCAAGGGTGGGTGGGCACTGTTCTAAATGTTCACATGATTGTATTTCTGAGTTTAGGTTTCTTCATGCATAAAATGGCAACAGTAACTATTGGACTTTGCTCATAGGATTACTGTGAGAATTAAGTGAATTAGGTGGTCTTGCTCACGTAGAAAAATTCAAAACCTAGCAGCCATTGTCATTATTATTAATTATGGAAATACTGGGGGTAAGAACAGTGAGTGTGTAGACACACTTCTTCTGCTAGGTATAGCTGCAAATCCTTGACATCTTATATAAAACAGACACAAGAAGACTCACAAGTGGAGAGAAGAAGGCAGACTTGCCAGAGGCCTTGGATCAGAGGTGTAACATGGCAGTGAGTCTCTCGGGTTCCCCTTTGCCTCATAGGTCTCAGACATAAAGCCGAGGCCAGCAGCCTGGAAATGCCAGTGGGAGCAGACAACAAAGCCCTAAGAAAATGCTGCTGTCTCTGCAAAAGGACCAGAAAAGGGCAGCTGCAACACAACAAAACTTTTAGACAAAAACGATCCTTTCTCAGCCAAACCTCATGGAAAAAACTCACGGCCTCACCCCCATCAGCAAAGGCTGGATGGAAAGCCTAGATTTCCACTCTTGCTTGTAATAACGCACTTGTCCTACCCCACCTCACACTCTGTAGAGTCAGAAAAGACATAGTGGGAAGCCAGGACTGTCAAATCCAGTGATAATGAAGCACTGCCCACTCCAGATGTCAGTGGAGGCCACAAGGGAACCCGCCCAGCAGTAACAAGGCACTCTTACCTCCCCTGCTGGGGAACTGCAAGATAAGTACAAGTGGGGGACCTGGGCTTTAATGTCCATGTGGCAGTAATGACGCAGCACCCCCACCTTCACTGTCAGAGCAGTGTCAAAAGAGGTCTAATAAAGCAAAAGATTTAAGTAAGATAGAAAATTTTATGACAAAAATAATCAAAACATTCAGGTTTCAATAGAAAAAGTCACTTTCCATTCCAAAACCCAGGAAAAATCTCAACTTGAATGAGAAAAAGTAATCAGCACACTAATGCTGAGGTAACGGACATCGGAATGACCTGAATAGGATTTTAAAGCAGTCATCATAAAAGTGCTTCAGTGAGCAATTATGAACACATTTGAAGCAAATGAAGACTTATAAAAACTCAGCAAAAGAACAGTAGATACACAAAGACATGAATGGAAATTTGAGAATTGCAAAATGCAATAACTAAGATACAAACTCAGTGAATTGGCTCAACAGTAGATGAGAGGACAGAGGAAAGAATCAATGAACTTACAGATAAGACAGTAAAAATTGCCCAATCTGAACAACAGAAAAGGGAACAAACTGGGGAAAAGTGAACGAAACTGTAGGGACTTGAAGGACTGTAACAGAAGAGCTAACATTTATGTCATCAGGTATCATCAGAGGTAGGGATGAAAAACCATTCAAAGAAATAATAGCCAATCATAGAGGCAATCATATTGCAATTTATGAGGGTATCAGTTCAACACATTGTATATCTTAAAGTTATAAAATGTTATGTCATTTATATCTCAATGAAGTAGGAAAAATAAATAAAAGAGCCAAACTCTTAGGAAAAAAACCTGAAGGTTTAACTCAGTAAAATTAGGATATTAAATAAAAAAGAAAGAATGGCTGAAAATTCCCCAAATTTGGCAAAAGACAGTGACTTAGAGATTCAGGAGTTGAGCAGACCCCAGCAGGATGAATGAAAAGAAATCCACAGTGAGATACAACAGACTCCAGCTTCTGAAAGCTAAGGACAAGGAGAGCATATTAAAACCAGGCAGAGAGAAATGGCACATTACCTAGAGGGGAAAAACAATCCCAATGATGATAGATTTCTCATCAGAAACCATTGTGGGTGGGAGAAAGTGGCACATTTTTCAAATGCTGAGGTAAAAGAATTATAAACCCAGAATTTTTTATCTAGTGAAAACACATTTTTGGGGGTGGCAGTAAAGGAGAAATTTATACTTTCTCAGAGAAAGGGACTCTAACAGAATTTTTCACCCAGACCTATCCCAAAGAATGGCTAAAAGAAGTTCTTAAAGCAGAAAAGAAGACTTAAAAAAGAAGAAAAATCTTCAAACAGTTGGAAGGAAGAAGAAAGAAAAACAGCAAGATTTTAAATATGAATAAATTCAATGATTTCCTCTCTTGAGTTTTCTAAATTGTGCTTGATGATTAAAGCAAAAAATTGTAACATTGCTTGACGTGGTTCTCAAGTTTTGTAGAGAAAATGTTTTAGATAATTGCATTATGAATGAAAGAAAGTAAAAAGACTTTAAGGGAGGTAATGTTCCTATACATTCAAACTGGTAAAATGTCAACATTGGTAGGCTGTAACAAGTTATAGGGGTATAATATAATGCTTACACTCAGCACTAAAAACCTGTACAAAGAGATACACCAAAAAGCTTTGGATAAAGAAAAATGGAATTCTATAACCTGTTCAAGTAATGTACAGGCAGGCAGGAGACTGAAAGCAGAGAAATGAAAAATAGCCGAAACAAACAGAAAACAAAAAATTAAATGGTAGTTAAGTCTTAAAACAAGCAGTAATCACCTTAAGTGTAAACAGTCTGTGATTCCACTTATCTAACATTTTCAAATGGCAGAATTTACAAGATGAGGAACAGATTAGTGGCTGTCTGGGCTTAGGGAAGGTGAGGGAGGTGCATAGATGTGACTACAGCAGGGTGGCTCTGGGGAGGCCTTTGTGGCCATGGAATAGCTCGGGATCTTGATCGTAGTGGTGGTCACATGAATCTACACATGTGGCAAAATGACGCTGAACCACACACCCACTGTACCAATGTCAGTTTCCTGGTTTTGATATGATAACACAGCTGTGTCAGATGTAACCAGTGGAGGAAAACAGATAAAGGGCAGTAGGGCCTACCCTGTACTATCTTTGCCACTCACTGTGAATCTATAACTATTTCAAAAAAAGAAGAGTCGTTGTGTTTGTAGTGAATGAAGAAATCAACTAGGTGGGAGCTTGTTTTTAGTCTCCTGCTCAAAATCCAGAGACAAGTTAAGTTTTGGGAGTGAAGTACTGAACACTTGTTATTCCCTCAGGTTTCATTTCCATCTATTCTTAAGAACTTGCTAGGAGGATGGGGGATTCAATGCCCTCTATTGACAACTAAGCCTTTGAGATTACTTGTAGCAGAACAGAAAAAAATAAATTGTCAGAGGCCAGCAGGCTGCCTCCAGATTGGTCTGGATTACCCAAAACATCATTCTGCACAAAGACATAACCACCGGCCAAATGTGTCATCATACACTGCTCAGTGCTGGGCTAGGCGGGAGGGAGAAAAGGAGATTAAGTGTGTGACACATTTTTCACAAGGCACGCTCCATTTTCTTGTGACTGAGCGTGTTCTCATGCCCGCCAACGACCATATTCAGTTCCGCGATCCAATTTTGGATGCTGAAACCTTCAGCACTTTACAAAGCTGGGTTTTTTTCTTCACCAGAACATGGAAATTTGATTACCTTCTGAGAGTGAAACAAGAACGGGCTCGGCTCTGTGGCTAAAATCGTTTGAGAACATCCGTGTGTAAGTGTATAATCTTGTGTGGTAACGGGGCATGCCTAGATCGCAATCGCGTTGAATTAATTATACTGTCTTTGGCCTGAAGAAAGAGTGCTGATGAGATAAAACGGAATGGAAGAACGGCACAAAGGAAGCCCAGGCAGCAGGAATGTGTTGGTGTCTGCCGGCCTGCCCCAGAGACAGACACCCCGGGGCTCCCGGCCGCGCCCCCTGGGGCCCCGCGCCCACGGGGCTGGAATACATTGCCTCGCCTTCCCGTTTTTCAGCCTGGGAGGTGACTCGCCCGTTCAATGTGTCTTTCCCCTAATAAACCGCCAGTACCTCTGGGAGAGGCCTCAGACTCCTTCT